GTCATTACAAGAATGAAATATTTTCTGGCAGAAACAAAACTGGCAAAAATCAGGATGGAAATTAGTGTAGTAATTTTGCTCCTAAGCAAATTCCTCTTTACTATTTCCCTGGAAAGCCCAAAAAAGGCCTTGAACAATTCCAATTTAGTTAAGGCAGAACATTCCACTGTTTAAAAACACGTGACTTGTAAAGTGTCCAATTATGTCATTTGAGAATGTATGTGGTATATAAATAAACACTCATGCTAAATACAAACCACACATTTTTTTATTTTAATTATACGTATGCATGACAGGCTCAAATCACAGCCCTTTGGATTTAGCAAGATTTAATGCTTCTGGAATCATCTCATTCTGATCTTGGCTCCTGGGCTCAGGTAGCAAATTTGCCCTTGAAGGGTGGAAAGGGTGAGTCTATCAGGATTGCTGCTTGGAGCGTTAGCCACTTCAACTACGTGTTTGTTAGGTTTGTCTGTGCATATAGCTATGCTGACTTGGATTTACCAAGCTACCAAATGCTTTGTGTGTCTTGGAACTGTGACCTCTGTGGTACACTGAATCCTAAATTCCTTTGGCAGGTGTTATTTAAGGGTCTCCTAATCATCTTCCAGCCAACAGAGTGAGTGGCCAGTTTTCAAGCTGTAAAGATATATTAATGTCTATGATACTACATGAAATAATAGGGTAAGAACAAGTCTATGTCTCTCAAGCAAGGTACCTGTTTTCTGATCTGGAACTCTCAACAGGATTTTGTGGTAGCCTTCAACACTTAAGATCTTGGCGTCCTCACATAAAAAGAGAGAGTTTAAGATAAAGCATTTTCTAGAACAGTGATTTTCAACCTTCCTAATGCTGCAACCCCCTTAATACAGTTTCTTATGTTCTGGTGATCCCCAACCATAAAATTATTTTTGTTGTTACTTCATAACTGTAATTTTTCGGCTGCTATAAAATCATAAGAAAATATTTTGATATGTGGTCCCAGTGAAAGGGTCGTTTGACTCTCCAAAGGGGGTCGAGACCCACAGGTTGAAAACCGCTGTTCTAAACCCCCATGCCAATTTAACAATCATTTAGTAAAATCATACTGTCTGATGGAATATTTATCTAAATATTTCATCCAGATCATATGATCTTTTTGGCTGGCACGCTCATTGACCCCCTTTCAGCATTGTTAGAATAAAGCAACAACAAACAGATGTCCCCCTCGGCCCCCCAAAAAAACCACCAAATAATTTAAGTTTTGAAAGAATCTACTTAACTATCTGTGTATTGTGGACGATTGTACCCTTTGCGTATATCGCTGATACAGAATGCTGTAAGTAAATGGTAAAAGCCAGGCTGTATGTATGTACACGTGGACCACCTTGTCTTGTGCAGAGGTCATCGGATGACCTTGGCTGTTGTCCCTCAGGCACCATCCACTGTTAAGGGTTTTCATTGGCCTTGGTTTGCTGACCAGTGAGTTCCAGGGATCTGCTTACCTAAACCTTCCTGGCAATGAGATTAAACACATCTGGTTGTTTGTATAGGGTTCTGGGGTGTGAATTCGGTCTTCAAGCTTGCGTGGCAAACACTTAAACAACTGTGTTACCTATCCCCAGCTCCTTGTGTGTATTTTTTTTTAACAAACCTTATATTCTTACTTTTTAGTTTTCCAGAGCACTGATGGCCTCAAATAAACATGAGTGGCCAATGGGTTGAGGTGAAAGAGCCCAGGGCTCCCCTACCCCACACCTCTAGTCTTGTCTGTTTGGTGGCTATTCAACATTTTGTTTAGGGGGAAAGTGTCCTTGGATAAATGTGGTATGAAAACCACTGAGCAATGCAAAAGGTTTTGCTTCCATGCTGTGTGCTTTGAAAGTGCCCTTCCTTCCTTCCTTGTTAGCCTTACCACTTAAAAGATGCCATCTTACGAGCTATTCCAGCAAAATCCAAAGGCCAGATGAATAATTTCTTATTTATGCTCTTTTCAAATACCCATAAATGGCATGCCACATTTAAGTTCGCAGAGTGGAATCATCAAATGCTTTAATAACTATACAAATATTAGTATTTGATACACAGGCTCTCATAATGTGGCTCAATCACAGTTGGATTGATAGGGTGGTAAGTGGGAAAATCCTGTTTAGACAGTTGGAAGAGAAGGGGGAAGTGTTTAGTCAAACAAGCTTGATAGTCTTGTCAGCATCAAACTGATAGCTATTTGGCATCATTTAATCTTTGCCAAAGAAGATTTTGTTGAGCAAAGGAACAATCAGGAACTTGGGTTAATCCTTCATATTTCTCCTTTGGTTCAATTCATCCAACTATAAGTCTATGAATGATCCCTTGGCCTGCTAGGTAAAACAGATTTCCTTTTCACTAAGGTAAAACAAAAACTAAACGGTGGCACAGCGGAACAGCATCCTGTGAGAACCACCACTATGTGCAGAAGGGGCCCCGCCCTCCCTAGGACGCCCTCTAGGAAACAACTGTATTGCTGCAAGTGTCCCAGAAGTTCAATGAAGAAGAGTGTCTGTTGACACAGCCAGGAGTGGAGCAGTCTCTCTCTTACAGGGAAAGCTTTTGGGTTGTGCCCCTCCTTCCCTACCTCAGCAGGATTATCACTTACAGAACCAAAGGCAAAGAGCTCCTTTATGTCTGGAAGCAGTTTGTGTTCTCTCTTTGTTTTCTTCTCTAAGTCTCTGCTTTTCCCCTTTGACCTTGAGATGCTGATTCCAGGGGAAGGTCTCCTAGAGTAGAATATGATTGTGGCTGTGGACATTCAAGGGGTTTGGAATACAGTCACCTTAAGATAGCTTCCTCTTTGTCCCTATACATTCCTGCCTGCCCCTTCCCTGAACCCCCTAAGGTCTTTCCCTGGAGTTCCTCTTGGGAAAACATCCGAGTCTCCCCTCCCTTCACTAAATAGCACCTGTCCAGGATTAAAAAATTTGGTAGTACTACCATAACACAGGACATGTGTGTGGGGGTAGATAGGTTTTATGAGAATGCAAATTTCTGGTGCTGCACTTAACATTTTTTTTTAATTCCTTTTTACTTATGCATATGTATATGTGGACACTTGATCCTGGCGCTGGGGGTGGAACCCAGCTCCTCTGCAGTAAGTACGGTTAACCACTGAGAGATCCTGCCCCCAAATGACACACATCTTAATACAAATTTTGGAAATATGTATGTTACTGGGAACGTGAACACATGACAGTTTCAGCACACAGTGGGGTTCTATTAAACAGAAGGGAGACGGCAGTGAGAATTAATTGCTTTCTTTAGGATCTACCTAAATCAATCTAAATTGTTCAGATTGTTTGACTGCGTTGCATGGCTTTTACAGTGAAGATGCCGCAGAGCTTCTACAATGATAGAGGTGCAGGCAGCGTGCCTGGGGCTTCGGGACAGGCACTTCAGACCTGCTGCTTGGAGTTTGTACTGGTCTCTCTCTCTCTCTCTCTCTCTCTCTCTCTCTCTCTCTCTCTCTCTCTCTCTCTCTCTCTCTCGATATTGAAGCCAGGATGCCTGATAGCTTGGAGACTTGCAAAAAAACAAAATGAAAACAAACAAACAAACAAAACCCCAGATGGATGACCGGATCGCAGGATTGCTCAAGGAAGAGCGGCCCAGGCTGGAGCTGTACAGGAAAACATGCTACAAAAATCTCCCAGAATCCTCCGCCCAGGTCTCATTCCACCTGGTTTCTCAAGAGCAGATCTTTTGGCCAACCTTAAGCTCAGAGGATTGGCAGGGCAGGAGGCTGAGTTCCAGCTACCTTTGCCCTAATTTATTGAGGCCTTTAAAAGTAAATAAATAAAACTTTGAACTCAAAAGCATCTGAAAGCTTTATGAGTGAGATATGCTACTTGCCTTCAGGGGTATCAAAGATCTCTGGAGTTAAAGTGACAAGAAAAAAAAAAAAGAAAAGGAAGGAAAGAAGGAAGGAAGGAAGAAAAGAAAGAAAGATGCAAAGAAAGAAAGAGAGAGAGAGAGAGAGAGAGAGAGAGAGAGAAAGAAAGAAGGAAAAGAAGGAAGAAAGAGAGGCTCTGTAGTTGCAGAACTAGAAAGCATGTCCAGACTGGAAGCAACTGGTTCTGTAGCTTATTAACTCAGGAGGTGGGGGCAGGCCAAGCACGGAAGTCCCCGGCTCTGCCCGTGTCTTTTTTCCAATGGAGGATTCCCCCTGCTTCTTGGCCTTTAGCCCTCCTCTGTTCCTTCCAAATCTAGAAACAACCCTTTTCAAGAAAGACCTGGTAGATAAAATGAAAAGATGTAAAACAGCTCTTGAGAACTAGTAGGAGAGAAAAATCAAGGGGTCAAGGTGATGTCAACTATTACAGGCTCACTCTGGAATCTGGGGGTCTGAACAGCAAACCCGGCAACTTGTGGGCTGACCTGTGTGAGCAGAACAGCATGGCTCTCACAAAGCTCTTTCTTTTATCTCTTTATGGAGGTTGACTAAGCACCCCCTTATTTGGCTGTTGAGCATGGGGGAGCTCCACTGAGGCGAAGTGCCTCGCTTGGCTTGTAGGTCTGGACCTGAGATTCCTGTGATAAACTGGAAAGCAGTTCAGTGATCTTCGCTGTTAGATGCTTCTCTTTCAATGACAGGGAAAAGCAAGCCCTTAGGAAGGAGCTGTCTGGCCCAGCCAGCCCAGGGATGGAGGCTTCCAGACGTTTCCAGAGGCCGAGCTGCTTTTCCCCAGAGTGATGGCCTGGCTCGTGCACTCAGGCAAGACGCAGCTATAGTAAGGACTTTTCATAGGAGAGAGAGAGAGAGAGAGAGAGAGAGAGAGAGAGAGAGAGAGAGAG